AAAGGAGGGAAAGAGGCGTTTAGGGCTGGAAGGAAGGGGGTGGTCATGCGCAGGAGGAGCTTGGATTATGCTCCGAGGAGCTCCCGCTGCTCCTCCGCTTTTTTCAGGGGCTTCTCGGGTTTGGAAAGCCGGGAACGACCCCTCCCGGTAGACAGAGAGAACGCATTTATGCTCAGGGCTAGAGGAGGGTTTGATGAGGGAAGGTGCCTGAAAATACAGACAAGAGGACTTTTGTCCTTAAATAGGAGAGGGCTCACACGTTCACCTTCAAATACTCCATCATTGTCTGTTGGTTAGCAGTGAGGGCTGGTCAAGAAAGGGCAAAGGGGCACTGCTTCACCTCAGGTGGGGGATACTCCCAACAAGTCTATGCCTGTCTGCTTCTTTCCTAGAGGCAGAGGATCAGGGCCTGTGTGCTGCTCCTGTTGATTATCCAGCTTCACATTCTGTGTGACAAAGAGCAGAGAGAGAGAAGAGAGAAGCAGCAAACAGGTAGAATATTTCTAATTGGGGGTAACCAGGTGGAGTGGCAAGGTGTATATTTTGTTCCTACTGCTTAGCTGACTTGAGTATTGAAGAAGGGAGAGTTTGGAGGAAGGTTAGCATGTGGACATGTGTATTTTTAATGTTATTTTTTCCTTGCAAGTCTCTGTGTGTGCATGTCTGTGAATAGCTACTTTTTGTCTCTGGCTCTCTACCTGCCCTCTGGCCCACCAACTGCAATTGCACCAACAGAGCTGAGGTCTGAGGTGGGGCAATATTAGTTACCTTGAATTGGCAGTTGTGTTTAGACATGGAATATTTGTATTTGAATATTGGCATCACAGGTATCTGGGAAAACCAGACCCTCCTCCCTGAATTGGCAAGTCCACTTACTGCTCACCGCACACAACCAGCGTAGTTCTCGTCGCACCAAACCAGGAAGCAGCCTGGCCAGCGTTTCCCTGCACAGCCAACCACTCTGGTGAGGAGGCAGGATGATGAGTCTCCCTGCTCAGCTGTTGAGCGGTCGGTTGGCTGTGCAAGAAGACAGGGAAGTGCCCCTTCCTGGATTGGTGGAATGAGAACAACAACGGCTGTATGTGCCATGCAGTGAGCAGTAAGTGGACCTGCTGGTGCAGGGGGGTCTGTTTTCCCAGGCACCTGTGGTGCTAATATTGATATTTGTGTCTCCAGGGATACAAATATGAATATCCCATGGGATCCAGGGATACAAATATGAATATCTAGAAAATTGTAGAAATGCCTTTCCAAACCTTGCTATGACATAACTCGACAAGAATAACAAAGTATATATCCATTCCCAGCTTTGTCAGCTTGACACAGTCACATCACTTTGATTAATGGGAAGATTGTCCCTGGCCATTGGTCACCACTGAGTAGAGTCTAGAGATGAAAACTCTTTGCTTTATGCAAAGCACAATTCAAAACACCCAGTTCTACATTTAGTGGTAGTAGAATGGAGTGCACAACTCTGAACGCATATAGGCTCTGAATTTTGCTTTGTGGAGACAGGACCCTGCTAGAAGGCAATTAATACAGCAGAAAGAGGGCTAATCTATGATTTTTAGGCCTAGATGAGAACACACAAACTGATGTTAGTGATTACTGTTGAGTAGTATAGGGCAAAGTTTTTTTTTCATGGCCAAAATTCCACCTCTAGTCTCAAGTGATGTAGTCCCTTTTAACTTAATCTTTTACCACTTAATTCTGTTACATATTGTTAGACCAAAGCACAAGGAGTCCTGTATTACATATGTATCTATTCCAGCTTGTCCAGAGCTGAATCACTCTTTTGTTATCGTTTCATTTTCTTTCAATAACCATTCATGTAGGTTTTCATTTATGAAAAGAAAAGAATCTTGTAATGCAGCATTTATAATGTTATTGTCAGATTAGAGTGTGAGACCTGAACAGTTTAAATAGGAAGTCTGTGTTCATCACAACTTGCATTTATCCCTAAAAGGGTTAATTCGAGTATGAAAATAGATAGCCAGATGAATTTTCACATGATTGAAAATGGTTTGTCGTCGTTTAGTTGTGTTCGACTCTTCGTGACCCCATGGACCAGAGCACACCAGGCCCTCCTATCTTCCACTGCTTCCCGTAGTTGTGTCAAATTCATATTGGTAGCTTCAATGACACTGTCCAACCACCTCATCCTCTGTCGTCCCCTTCTCCTATTGCCGTCACACTTTCCTAAGATCAAGGTCTTTTCGAAGGAGTCTTCTCTTCTCATGAGATGGCCAAATACTGGAGCCTCAGCTTCAGGATCTGTCCTTCCAGTGAGCACTCAGGGTTGATTTCCTTTAGAATTGATAGGTTTGTTCTCCTTGCAGTCCGGGTTTTGAAAATAGTTATGAAGGTACACGTCTTTCCATCGCTGGAATATTTCCAGGCAACCTCTGCTTGTCTAATTCTACAAACTTTATTCATCTACTTTGCCACTATGTTTCATAAGCCATACTTCAGAGTTTATTTATCATTTATTTATTTAAAATATTTTTACCCCACTTTTCTCCTTAAAAAGGACCCAAGGTGGCCTACATAATTAAAAAACAACATTTAAAGAGTTGTTGAAAACCTTAAACTTTGTGAGATGTTACATGTACATTTCAATTACATAGAAATCATTCATACAGCTGTGGAAAATCTGTAGACACAAATGATTAAAATATATGAAAACTATACTTAAGTTGCAGGTGAATATTAAGTCAGATTTCAGTTCAAAATACTGAAGAATAAAAAAAATACAACAAACATAGCAAAAAATAAGAGGATCGATAGGATCTCTTCCAGCTCTGCAATTCTAAGATGACGATGATTCATGTTTTAATTACATTCTAAAAATGCAGGAACTTGTAGCCCAAAAAGGCTTAGTCAAAAAGCAGGGAATACCTCTGTAATATACATAATTTAAAAAGTAAAAAATTACCTGTATAGCTATAAGAAATATTTAGCCTTTAGCATATTACTAGGCACACAATAAAACATATTTTAAATGCTCACCCAGTCAAGCCAGTTTGAATCTTTGGAGGAAAATCCATGTTGTCCCCATCTTTTTCTGAGGTGCTTTTTCTGTAGCAGCTGCTACACACTGTTCTTTGATGCCTGGTGCCCAGTATCTGTGTTGTTGATATCCCATGTATGTGTCTCTTGCTGATTTCTATACATGCTCAGAAAAAATTTAATGGCAGTTTCTATTGCTTTTTGTGGGATGGCAAAGTATGACTCATAAATTATGAGGCTAGCAAGTTGCCACTATAGCAGATAATAGCCTCTATTTTGACTAAATGGGTCCCTGTATCCATGGAAATGGTTAACTGGTCCCATAGTAATTTACTAGCTAGGCAAAATGCCATGAGCATAAAGTGTTGGTGAACTAATTTGGTCAGGTACTAATTTTCCTATCCTCATTTTAGGACTCTTTGAGTTTTTCTCTCAATTGATTTGTATTTCTTATCATTTGTTTAATCCACACTCATGTGTTAGGTTATAATGAAAGGGATTCCTTTTGTGTTATTTTACATTGACATTGCTTTTAGATTTGGCTAGAGAGCTGGTTATTTTGCAATGACTTTTAATAAGCTGCTGTTTAAACATCATTCTTAAAGCACATTATCACACCAGATATGTCAATCAGCTCATCAGTGCAAGTCTGAGTTGCCACACAGTGGTAAAATCTATTACTTAGCATAGTGAATCACCCTAGAATAGGCTCATTGAATCAACTGAAATTTAGTGAGTAAGCACCTTTATAAGTTTCATTAATTCAGATGCCCCCACTCTAAGAATTTACTGTGCTAAAGTTTCCATTAGAGTAGGCCCATTTGAGTCAATAGAGTTGACTCACCTGTTTCCCATTGATACAATGGACCTACTCTGGTGTAATTTACTACACTAAGCAATACAGTAGGATATTGGCCAGTAACTAAAATGATGTTGCTCAGTATAGTAAGCCACAATTAGAGTAGGTCTATTAAATCAAAGGGACCAATATAGGAGTTGACTCAGCAAATCACCCCTGGTTCAATAAACCTACTCTTTCAGTGATTTATTACATTAAGCAACAAGGTTTCAGCCAACAACTGTTTTTAAAATTAGGACAATAATTCCTGCCAGTATCTTCTACATGTCAAATGGTTACAACCCCTACCCATCCAAATATGAATACATAAGTTTGCCAAACTGAGAAACAATACTTTGTGTAATGAATAAGACTGACAATGTTGATGAAAGCTTATGCTATAATAAATATATTAATCTTTAAGCTACTACAAGACCTTTAGGAGTTTCTTCCCTCCAACAAAGTCACAAATGTAATTGAATATAATTAATTATTACTCCATGATCTTTGTTCTATGCTGATAATTCTGAGAAACAAACCAGCCCTATTCACTAATTCTTATCTGGAAACTCATGCAAAGAGGAGAGCATTCTAGGCTTGCTCCCCATTCCCCTCAATTCTGTTACATTCATGTGCACAGGAACAAGTCTGAAGTGGGGATTTGCTGTCCATGGATACTCTCCATACGAGTGGGGATCCTAATTTTCCAGCGTCCATCTTGCATGGAGAACTCCCACAGATAACGCAGCCTTCCATTTCCTAATTTATCATCATGTATAGAAGAGTGGGCTAAAAAGCTTCTTTCTTCACATACATGGATATGAGTAACTCAATAATACTAATCTCTCTCCCGTCATAATTTGTTTTGTTTTTCTCAAAACATCTATACTTGTGGTAATGTTGCTTTTGCATAAATGTACTCCCTTCATTTTAACAGGGCGAGTGGCGGGTCTGTTCACAACCCCTCCCTAGTTTACAAGAGAAGTGTCCGAAGTCTGGCACATGCTGGCCTGACACAAAAAAGTGAGAGAGCAAAGACTATGTGCATTTCATTTCATGCTGGTTTAATAG